TAAGCGTGCGGGCGAGCCGGGCGGTGCGGGAGGATCGCGGGGGGCCGGGGGCGGCGGCCCCCAGCTGGGCTCCTCCCGGGGCCCTCGCCCCGCCCGCCGCCGGCCGCAGCGCTCAGCGCCTCTGAGGGACTTCTGGGTGCCCTTCGCGGCTCGTTAGGCTTATCGTCTAGCGGCTCTCCCTGGTTTTCTCCGCTGTTATGACATTTCCAGCAATTAAAGGAAAAAAAAAATCCCCGACATAAAAGTAGCGTTAAGTATCTGTTACTAGGACGCCTGTCAACTGTAAGAGCAAAGCATGTCACAAAAATGTTGTAACTAGCTCAGAATTCAGTGTTATAAACCGAGGGAATGCAGAGAAAATGCTACACTTGAAATAATTCCTTTGTTTAGTTACCCAAACGGACAGCTCTTGCACTTCAAGAGCACCTATTGATGGTTGCACCGGATGATCTTGGAGGTCTTGTCCAACCCTAATAGTTCTATGATTCTACAATTCAACAGCCCTCAAGAGAGGAGCAAGGAAACAGGCTGCCTTTATGAGGAAATTTAACGTATCCTCCATCAAAAAGGTGAAAATAGTGTATCCTTGAAATAATAAGTGGACTTTTTGTTTGTTTGTTTTGTTTAATTATTGGGCAAGAATTAAGGCTGTTCAGCTGCTGCAACTACACTTTTTGCCTTAGCACATTTGGACTTTTAAAACATCCTCAGCTCTGAATTTCCTACATGCATAGCTTGTGATTTCACAATAGGATTATCACTTTTTTTTTCTTTACTTGTTCAGTTACTCTTACGTACCCTGTCCCAGCTCTGTCCTCAGTGAGATTTTTTTTTCTAAATGTTTTATTTAAATGCTGATAGTACCATCAGTATGCTAAACCAGGAAAAAAAAAAAAAAGTTAAACTGAGGTAACCCTCCAGTCACCCCCAATACATTTTTGGGCCCAGCACAATTCTGCATCACTTTATCTTTTACTGCGCCACCTTTAAGATCCCTTCCTCACTGGCCATGATAAGTGTGAGCAATTGGTCCCTAGGACCAGCTACAGCAAGTTAAGAGAATTTGCAAGGCTGACAGAGCAGAGGTGCAGCTGGTTAGTTTGCACAGTGTCTGAAGATGTTAATCTGTAGGTCCTGAGTGCTTTGGGATCTCTGGAGTAGTTGGCATAAACAACTCCAGGAGCTCATACTCCACTAGCTACAACAAGAAAATGGGACAGATAATGTTGCTAAACTTCACCCTACTTTCTTAAGAGAAAAGGGTGCCGTTTGTCACACTGATGGGCTTATGTTCTTGATTCTCGTTGGGCAGATCTGGAGTTACTGGACTCTGTAACACGTTGTACCAGCTGATGCATTCACGGGTGGCACTGAAAGAACCTTAGGGCAAAAAGAAGCACATGTTAATGTTGCAGATCTTTGGGCTTTTGTCCAAAGAGGGGAAGCTAAGAAGTTAAATAATTCCTGTCTTGGCTTTACAGGGCTCCCTCCAGCTTTCCTGTATCTCTTGTTTCAGATAACTCAGGAGGAGGGTTTCTTTCAGAGCACTCTTACTTGTCATCCTTCCAAAGTCCAGACAAATGTTTGTATTACTTCTGTCATGAAGGAGGAAGGGGGCTGTTAGAAGAGTGCAGGACTGTCAGGGTATGGCATGAGAGACTACTTTCTTACTTCTAGAAAATTCTACATTTAAATTTGGTACAATGTAACTCTGACACACTGAATTTGAGGGAAGGTCTGAGTGCATGCAGATTTCAGAGAACTGTACAATACTATCCATCAATGCAACAGCTTCACTAAATTTTAGTCCTTTGGTTAGAGCTGTCCTACGTAGATTGCACCCAATATGGAAGAAAGCTCAGAGAAAGCAGCAAAAGAATTGGACGCCTCCTCCACACACTGAAGATTTGGCATTTTTATTGTTAGTGTTGATGCATGTAGGGGGCCAACAAGAGATTTTTAACCATTGGGAGTAATGTGAAGGGAGATGCTGTTTCGATTTAGTACCTCTCAAAATGAAATAGCCTGTATAAAATGTTCCAGTATGTCGTAGTGTAATTCAGTATTTTGAAGCGTATTGAACTATGCTATACAACAGGAAATGAGACAGTTCTGAAATTCCCTAGTACTCTGCCAGGACTTGACCTCTTGATGTTTCCCTATCAGAAGCTGGGAGGATTTCTCCGGGAGCCCCGTGCAAGGACTTGTGTTTCAGGTGTTTCCCTTTGGCAGGCAGCATTCTTGCACCTGATCTCAGATGCTCTGTGGCCCTGGCTCAGTTAAAGTTCCTTGGCTCATTTATTGGGTCTCAAGTTGATCAAAAGTTGGTCAAAGTGGTGGTGGTGGGGGGAGGGAAGAAGGGGTAGAAGATGTAAGTTACCCCACAGAAGGCCACTCACCAACAGATAAAATCTCACTTTTGCATGGTCATGCTACTTTACCACCATCTCTTCTGCTATCAGTGGGGGTGGGGGGTAAAGGAACTTCAACAGGGCAACACAGTCCCTTCATAGCCTGAGTACAAAGTGATGTGTGGTTGGAAGCACCCAGTTGAACGTTAGTGGGACTCAGCATGATTAGTAGTACATACCATTAGTAAAGACAGGAAGAAATACTTTACAGTATTGTCATTACTCTGATAAATAGCTATTCTGTATGATATTTTGGAACTGTTTGCAAAGTATTTCTAGATGTTCACAGTTAATTTCCTATCCATTTGAAAGAAAATATTTTTTTTTCCCCCATTGTTTTTTGAGAAACAAACTTCTGCATTATTCTCTGTGTGAGTGTGTGACTGAATGTAAACATGCATAGTTATATTATGAAATATCTCCCTAATGCAAAGCACATCTAGCTGCCTAAAAAGTGATTTTAGGGAAAGATTGTTCTACAGTTTATTCACTGTAATCGCTAATGAAAAGCAATTTCTATGCACTTTTTAGCATGGTGGATGTTGTTTTGCTGAGGCTCACCTGGTAGATTTGCAGGCATGCTCTTATCCTGACAGTGGCAGAAATCTGAATTGTTAGAGATATTTTCAGCAATTCCCTAATGAGTTCCTATTACTTTGTAGCACTTTAATGAACTCCAGGTTGTAGTTTCCTCTCCCTTCTTTCTCTCCTAATTCTTCTAAATTCAGATAAATATTTCAGATTAGAAGTGGCTCTGGATATGAAATGTGACCATTAACCTCCATGCAACTCTCTGATTATGATATGCCATTAAAAGCTAGATTCATCTCTCTAATCCAGCCACTTGGAAATTTTTGGCTCAAATTACATTGGTATTTTTTTTAACAGGAGCAACATTTCTTTAAGGGATGTGTCACTCTCAGATGCAAAAGAGGAAACAGCTGCCTCTTTCAGACATCGAATAAGAACCAACCCCATCCAGAAACAAGACCAAATTTTTGGGCTCCATGAAAACCAAGATGTATCTTTTAAAATTGAATGGCTGCTCCACCTCAGCAGCTGACATTAACATAGCCTTTTTAATCGTTCCTTTTTCTTCATACCTTCTGTTGAAGGTGGAACAGCAGGATATTTTTGTTCTGTGATAAGTACTTGCAGAGCTCTGGGTTTCTACCTTATTTTAAAGATGGAGAACTTGCACACCATGGATATTCGTTACCCCTTTTGTAGGCATGTGAAAGTTTACAGGACAATCTTACCCTTAAGTTGTAATGCCTCTTCACATTATATTCTACAGCAGAATGCTCTTACAGTGGCAGGGAATCACAGGAAATATGTTGATGGACTTATGAGTGTTACAGAGATGGTAGTGGGGAATGATTAGTGATTGTCTTAATAAAAGCTGGGGAACACCAAAGAATAAGTTCTAAAGCATAATTAAGTACTTCTGTCATGCAACACAACAGAACTGTGGCACCCATTGCCTCAGGATCTTGTGGATGCCAAAAGCTTAGACAAGGGGGCTCAAAACACAGCTGAGCATGTTTGTGTAAGAAAAATCCAGCAGATATTAGATGTAAAGATACAACCTCTAACTTGGGAAGTCCAGAAGGCTCTAACTGCAAGGTGCTCAATGTTTTTCTCTCTTTCTCTCTCTTAGGCAGTGGGATGCTCTAATCTGTCTTACTAGTGTTCTGTTTGTGACACTGTGTAGACACTCATTTGACCATGGGCATAATGCTCCCTCTTCTGAGTTTCTCTCTGAAATGAGTTTGTCGCTATAGTTCTTATATTTTGCCAAGGGCTACCTTTCTTGTAGCATTGGTATTTTCAGTCTTTAGTCACTGTCATCACTGCTTGCTCAAGAGGAAAGAGCTTACATCTGCAGAAGAGGATTCTTGCCGTACATTCAGCACACGAGTGCGCAGCTCCTCAGCAGACCCTTACGGCTTAGGGTGAAGAACTGCTGGTGGTGCGCGTGCTGTCCGCTGCCTACGAACATCTGCTACTTCGCAGCGCCGGCGTGCTCAAGGATTTGACCTGTTGGAGCAGGCTGCTCGGGGCCGGCGCCCAGGCGGCTTCTGATCTCCAAGGAAGGAGGAGACTCCGCAGCCTGCCCGGGCTGCCCCAGCCACTGCTCCGTCACCCGCCTCGGGAGAGCGCTCCCTGATGCCGGGCCGGGCCCTCCCGTGTCCGCGGTGCTGGGCAGCGCCGAGCAGGGCCGGGCCCTGTCCCTCTGCCCCTCGCGTTTCCTCCGGAGCCCCCCGGCGCGGCCCCCGGCCCCCTCGCTTTTCGTGGAGGGGAAGGCCGGAGGGTCTTGCTCTGCCTTCTCGCCCTTCTTCCGAGAAGCCGAGCGAATCTGTGCCACCGGCCGCGTGTCTGTCGCACGCTGCCCTCCCTTCCTCGTCGGGCACGCGTTACCCCGTTTCCCTGCCTTTGTTCTAGGTGCCGCTCGTGCTCCGGGCCCCGGCCGTGCCGCTGGGAGCCGGGAGCCGCTCTGCGCCCGCCGGCCCCGGCGCCCTCGGCCGCTGCGGGGCGAGGCGGGGCCGCGGCGGGGCGGGCCGCGGGCGGGGGCGGCCCGGGGGCGGCCCGGCCCCGCCCCGGCAGCGGGGAGCCAGCGCCGCGGCGGGCGGGAAGATGGCGGCGGCGGGCGGGGGGGGAGCCGTGGTGTCGGTGCTGGCCCCCAGCGGGCGGCGGGTCACGGTGCGGGTGGGGCCCGGCACGGTGCTGCTCCAGGTGGGTCCGGGGCGGGGGCGGCCGGCGGCGGGGCCGCGGGCCGGCCCCTGACGCCCCTGTTCTCTCCGCAGATCCTCGAGGAGGTCTGCAGGAAGCAGGGCGGCAGCCCCGGCGAGTACGGCCTGAAGTGAGTCTCACCGCGGGGGTCTGCCGGGCGGCTGCGCTTCCCCCGGTCCGGCGCCGCGCCCGGGCCCGGCGGAAGCCCTGCCCCGCGCCGCCCGCGGCTGCTCCCCGCGCCGGGCCGCGCTGCTGGCGAGGCGCCCGCACGGTGCCCGCGGCCCCGGCCCCGGCCCCTCTCCCCTCCTCTCCCTGCTGCGGACGGCGCCGTCGGCCTGCAGCCCGGCCGTGTGGGCGCCCTGTCGCCCGCCTGTCCCCGTTCACTGAGCGTGGCCTTGTCCCGAGGGCGGCCGGGGAGGCCTGTGTGAAACACGCGTGGGAGCTGCTTGGTGTTCGGCGTGGGCGTTCTTGTGGCGGGTGGGCGGGCGGCCTAGAGGGGCCCAAGGCGTCCTTTAGCTGTTTACTGAGGCTGGTGTTTGTTTTAGTCATTGCCACAGCTGTGTAGGTGCTGCGTGATAGCGCACGAGGAAATCATTCGCAGTTATCACGGGAGAGAGGTCCGTGCTGTACAGTTAAGGTTATTCTCTAGAAAAGTTTATTTGTTTGAGTTAAGCTCCATGGTTCTCCTAGTGCTGAGTTCCATTCACTTTTAGGACGTGTGCTGAAATCCTGTGTACCTTCTGTGAAAACACTCCCTTCCCTGCCTCACACTCACTTTTTTGCTAGTTGACAGACTGATAGGGACTCTTCTGTCTTACCTACTGTTTTGACTATATACTTTTACAGTATAAAAATCAGGAGCTTATTCATCTCACTGGCAGTAAAATACGTTTTTATTTAGTGTTGTATGCAGCATGTGAAGAGGTATTCAGCAGTTGTTTATCTCTTAAAACCTGAGTAGGAATACAATTAGAGGATTTTATCTCTGACCTCTACAACCTTTAGTATTTTGGATAGGCAGTACCATCTTACCCTATGGCTTCCAACCAGTCTGTGGAGAGTTCTGTTGCTTCAGACCTGGATGTTGCACTGTTGCCAGTCCCTAAAGTGATCTGAAGGTTGCATACGATGGTTCCTGGTGTCTTCATTTACTGTATTCTTCTTCAGGTTTCAGAGAAGTGTATTGGATCTCTCTTTACAGTGGAGATTTGCCAGACTACCCAACAATGCCAAGCTGGAGATGGTGCCAGTCTCTTGCAACAGAGCGGGAATTGGAAATACGGTATGTTCATTTCACAGTGTGACCTGATTTGTTTAGTTTTTCAGGCATGCTGGATATGATCTTGTCATGTTTAGTGAGCAGGAACATGTTCAGGCTTGATCAAAATGCACGAGTGGAAGACCAGCTGAAGAATAGTGGAGGCATGGTGAAAAAAGGGATGTAGGAAATTAGGAGCTGGAAGTCTTTGCTTACGATCCATATGGTGGTGGTGTTCCAGCGATGTGTTGGTGGGCAAGGGGATCTTTTAGGGGGCTGGAAAACTTAATAGACGTAAATATATAAGATGTTAAAGATCGCTGTTGGCTTTGCTCAGCAGTTGCGTTAGTTCCCTTTCCTAATTTCTATTTCTGTTACTGTAGTTTGCTTCTGAGTTTCAACTAAAATTTGAAATTCTTAAAGAATTCACGATATGTTCACACAGCTTTGTAGTTTTCTCTGACATGTGCTGTGTTTAGCATTGTTCTAATGTTCCTATTTATTATTATTTGCAAAGGGCTTATGGACGCTTTGTTCTGTAGGAATTATTGTCAAGTTTAGGAGACTTAAATCTTTTAATGCACGTCATTCTAACAGCTGGAGACAGAACTTTTAAAACAATGCAGAGATATTAATGAACATAAACATGTTATGTGGTAAAAATGATGTAATGGCAGGTGATCTAGGGGTGCTATCAGTACAGTTGTAGTGATAAAGTTATTGACATTTTGCTTATATGTTTGTAAACTTAGACCAGTGCCAATTATCTCCTATTATTTTATATAGAGCCAGGGATTTTGAGAAAGACTTTTTCTAATGGACTGAATGTGACTTCCGTGACATACTTAGCTTTGAACTGTTGCCCAAAAAACTGATGCAACTGGCAGTCTGAATTTCAGGGCTGGATTCTTATGGAATGGTGATGTCAGCTGTCATCACTCTGCTGTAGATGAGAAAAATCTAAGGCCTGTATTCAGCACGGAAGAAATCAGGAGGTCATGTTAATGGTAGTATGAAACTACATAGTTTTGTTGGCTAGTTGTTGATGATGCCACTGATTTCTTTATTAGAAAAATTCCTGTCTCCAGCAGATCACAATTTGCAGTCCTGCAAGGACTGGCAGGAGTTGTGGCAGATTACAAACACGTTCTTCCAAGGAAAACACTGCAGATTACTGGAGTGTGTGGTGTCTATTTTAATTTCCTGGGGGAAGGGGAAGGATGCAGATTTTGGGGGGGACAAATTAAAACAGATTGAAAGAAAGCTTTTGTTGTTGTCCTAGTCTTACGTCCTTCGTAGGCTTTTGAATAAGGCTGATTTTTGTGGATTTAAACAACCATAGTTGACTAGAAATACTAGGTTCTATCTAATAGGGATTTTTTAAAAACTCTTCTTTAGACAGGTCAGATAATTGGGGAAAATGTAGAGGTAGACATCTTGGGAAAGAAGTCTGAATATTCTCTCAAAGATAGAGATTACATCTGAGGTGCTCTACTGTCCTCAATCTCTTGTTCAGCTGCTAGAGTTTTTTCCTTGTGACTTCAGTGTATTCATTTTGGAAGTTCCTTGTTGCTTTTTTGTTGTTGCCATGGGGATTTTTGGTAGAAATTGTCTGAAGAATATGTAGAAGCTGCATGAGCACCTGCTGATGAATGTGGACATTCACATTGTAAGTTGGAAAAGGCCTAATCCCATTTTTTTTTCCTATCACCATATGCAGATGTTTAAGAACCTGAACATCCAGAATTATTTTTGACATTTTTGATTAATGCACTCTGAAATTGCATGTTAAAATTTGGTAGCTAGGAAGCATCAGTGAATTGCAAGTTGCACATATAGTCTTCTTCGACGTGTTAATAGTTGGTTAGGTGTTCAGTAACTTAAGAAAGATAGTTCTGAATCATGTTTGTTGTTTCTGTGTGGATGTGCAAGTATGCTATTTGTTCTTCCTCAGAGAAGTTCTTTTGCATGTTGATGCTGAAGTCAACACAGCTTTGTGCTGTGTTGGAATTGTACTTTATGAAGCTGTCTCAATTCTGCCAGGGCTATTGGAATTAATTTTATATAGCTGTGAAGCCACTTGCTGTAAAGTTTCAGCTAGTGTAAAACAGAGCCTCTCAATTGCTTGTGAGGATATGTCATTTGGGACTCTTGCATTGGCCTTTCTCTGGCTGTGTTTCAGTTCAGGATATGGCTTTTTTTTTTTTTTTTTTTAATCAAAGTCCTCTAAAAACTGGGGTATGTGACTGCCTTTGACGCTGTTAGAAAGTATATGAGCTGAACAGTACTAAAGGAGCTAATGAACATTTAGAAGAGCAGATCTCAGACTGTGTTACTGATTACTAGAGGAAACATAATCATGCCAGCATTCATTTTGTCCTGAATTCAGTGTAAAACTCATAAGGCTTTCTCCGTTTTTTTTTGTTTTTCGTTTTGCTGGGCTGAAACACGGGTTACTAGCAAAACATTGGGGAAAAATTAAACAAGTTTGTGTTGCCGTTTGGCAAGCTCTTCCCTCTCTTCCCTTTCCTTCGCAAGTTTACTAAAGGTACTTGCTACAGTCACTGTCTAGTTTTCAAATTTCACCCTATTTAAAGGTGAATTTGACGCTTGCACTGTAACTGTTCTCTTCAAAGTTCCTGGTGACTTTCTCACAGCTGAAGCTCAGAATGCATATCGTAACTCCATCCCCTCTCAGCCTGTCAGATGCTTTTAATGATGTTGAACACCTTTCTGTAAACAAATTCTCTTTTGACCTCAAGGTTTTGTTCTCACCTGTTCCTGTTAGATTTTCTCCAATTGCTTGTTCAAAAGGTCCTCCATATTCCTGCTTACTTTCTCTGGAAACTCTGTAGGCTTTAGTCTGAGTTCCCTCTATTCCTCTGCATCTTCTGACTCTTACTGGCAAATATGCTTGCTTCAAAGTCTGTCAAGCAGGTCTGAAATGTGCTTTTCAACACTACACTGTCCTCTTGTCTTTGAAGCTAAAATTTCAAATTCTCCAGTCCCTTTTGAAGATGGCTAGCCAAACCTCATCTTCAAAATTTCTGAATTTGTGATTTCTCTTTGGCTCTGAGTTGATATACAGTCATTGAAGTGAAGATCAACTGTAGTGAACTTATAGTTGTGCTTGTCAGTTTGCACAGACACCACAATATTTGAAAAATAATGTGACTCTTTTCTCTGTCTTCTGAATCAAGAGCAGGTTGTTTTTATTTATTTACTTATTTTTTAATAAGGGCTCCCTTTTTTCTTACCATCACTAGTATTTTTGGGAAGCTAGGAGTATAGTTTGTCTTAAAATATTTCATAATCAAATGGCTGTCCTCTAGAATTTTTGATGATAATTTATGGAGAAATGAGTTGTAAGGTCTAGAGAAATCCTTGGAGAAATGATGCTGGTCAGGTTGGTGGATGTTTGAGTTGCACTGAAAACTGAAATCAACTGTCCCGCTGTTTCTGTAGGCAGATAGTAACATTAGCCAGTATCATGCTATGCATTCTCACATTAAGAAAATATGTTACAGGTTGTGCAGCTGAGAGGAATACAACAGATTCATGTGACATTATTAAAGTGGTAATTTTTCTAGCAGTGCTAAATGTGTACCGTGGGCTTGGACTCTGAAAGCAAAGCTGTTAATTTTATTCTGCAAATCTTTCTAAATTGAAGTTGCACTGTCACGTTAATTTTTCAGTGATGTGAGAGGAGACTGAATGAATTGCCCAAAGAGAGCTATTTACTAAAGAACTAAAATCATAATATTCATAGTAGAATAGAACTATTCTGAATATTAACTTCTAAAACAATCATTAAATACTAATTGTTTTTATCTAATGTAATAATCTGCAGAAAGTGTTTAGAAGAAAGTCACGATTTTTGGTTAGCAGGTTCCAAAGATCATAGAAAACACTGAAAAAAGTTGTAGTGAAGAAATTTTCATTGAATTCTTGTATTTACTGTGTTGTTCCTATAGGTTCGGATTGCATTACAGTTAGATGATGGCTCCCGTTTGCAAGATACCTTTCTCTGTCAACAGACTTTGTGGGAACTTCTGAACCATTTTGCAAAGACCAGGTAAGCAAATCAGTGGAAAAAAAATACTTGTTTGGATGGGTCTATGTATAACAGTATTTAGTTGTTGTTACAGTGTGTTGTGGTTCAATCCCAGTAGGCACCTAAGCACTGTACAGCATCTTGCTCTCTCCCGCTTGTTCCCTAGTGGGATGGAGCAAGAGAATCAGAAGGCCAGAAGCTAGAAAACTCATGGATTGGGATAAAGAGTTCAATATTTTTTTTAAACTCACTTTAAAAAATAAATAAATGGGAGGGGGTGGGAGAATGATGTAAAACACAATTGCCCACCACCAGCTGACTGATTCCCACCCAGTCCCCACGCAGCAGCACCCATGGTAAGCTTTCCCCCAGTTTGTGGAATACAATGCCACATGGTATGGAATATCCTTTTTGCCAGTTTGAGTCAGCTGTGCAGATTGCATCCCCTCCCAGCATCTTGTGCGCCTCTGGCCTCCTTGTTGACAGGGCAGTATGAGGAAAAAAAGGCTTCAACTGTGTAACCACTGTTCATCAACAACTAAAACATCAGCGTGTTATCAACACTATCTTCATCACAAATCCAAAACCTAGCACCGTAGAAGCAACCATGAAGACAATAACTCTATCCCAGCCACCATCACCACACAGTGATCCAACTAAATCATGCAGAATTGTAGAATTTACATTTCATTGCATTTTTTTCCTTTATAACACAGATGTTTGCCTTTTCTTTGCTGTTTCATATTTGACAATCCATTGTTTTGTTGCTATTTTTTAATACTGGACTTGCAGTCTTGGTTCAGGGTATAAACTGGAAACAAACTGCAAAGGCCAGAAAGAAACTATATACCTGGATGTATTGCTGCATTGTTCTTTTATACAAACTTATTTAAAGTCAAGTTACTTCCAGAGCTGAGAAGCTAGTCTAGATTATCTTCATCACTAGTATTTTTTGCGTTGCAGTTTCACATGGTAGAGAGGGTTCTTAAACAAGTTGCTGTTGCTTTTGGGACTTGAGCAGATCTCCAAGGAAATATGTAGTTCTCAGCAGGCTAATGTGGCTAATTAACTCCTGATTAACTGATTAGCTCCTACTTAAATGGAAAAATATTTGGTCTTACATTTATTAAATATATACGTGGGTTAGAAATCAATAATATTGAGTCTGGTTCATTGCTTTCCTTTGTCTCTGGCCTTGACTTTAAAATGCGGTATTGTTTTGAAATGTCAAGCTAAGAAACTTTTCTCTGTAGATGGTTTTTATTTTTTTTCATGGCTTGGAAGATGGAGCCTTGAAGCTGTGACAGCCATTCTACTCTGAACAGAATTTCCAACTTTATTTTTCTTTTTGTATTGTTGGTTTACCTTTCTCTTGGTAAAGTGTCTTTTCAGATTTTGTGTTTCTAGCTTGCTTTTTCTCATGTATTCCTCACCTTCTGCCAGTTGCTCTGCACTTTTTCTAATGTGACTAAGCTTGCTTCTGTTGCACTCAATCCTCCTGCTCCTCTGTACAGATGCTGTATTATGCAACTAGGAACTGTTTTTGTTAATTTCTCAGAACACTCACATACTCATCAATCTACAGAGATAGTGGTGATCTGTGTGGAAACTTCTTAAGTCTCCAAAGCTATGGTACTAGAAAAGCTGTTAAATAAGTGGTCGCTGGGAAGGGACAGGTGATAGTTCAGTAACCAGTAGTAGTTTCAGGTAAGCTCAGTCTTTCAGCGTACACTTAGAGGATGCAAAATCTTGGATTGCCATTTGTCATCTGGGCTGGAGCAATTGACCAGTTATGGGTATGCATTAGCATTAGACTACTGTACTAGCATAAACTACTTTAAATTAAGTTTGATGTTGCTTATTATGTACTGCAATTGGAATAGCCTAAGAAACACAGTTCTGAGGTTGAATTGGTCAAACTTACCTCATTAAGTCAGGGTAGCACAGTTGAGTTGTGTAGCTTGAGTTGCTCTGGAGTTGTTGTGCTTCCCAGGGATGCACTGTTTGTTTTCAGACAGCTTAGCTCCTGTTCTGGTTTCAGTTAGAACAGAGTTAATTTTCTTCCTAGTAGCTGGTAGAATGCTATGTTTTGGCTTAGGATGAGAAGAGTGCTGATCACACCCCGATGTTTTAATTGTTGCAGAGCAGTGCTTATACTAAGCCAAGGACATCTCAGCTTCTTGCTCCGTCCTGCCAACGGGCAGGCTGGGGGTGCAGTAAGAGCTGGGAGGGGACAGACCCAGGACAGGTGACCCAAACTAGCCAAAGGGGTATTCCATACCATCTGACGTCATGCTAAACAATATATAGGGGTGGCTAGCCGGGGGGAGGGGGCCGGACTGCTCGGGGTTAGGCTGGGCATCGGTCAGCGGGTGGTGAGCAATTGCATTGTGCATCACTTGTTTGTACATAGTAGTAGTAGTACTATTATCATCATTGTATTATTATTATAATTGTTATTATTATTGTTGTTGTTATTATTTTCCTGTCTTATTAAACTGTCTTTATCTCAACTCACGGGCTTCACTCTCCATTTCTCTCCCCCGTCCCAGAGAGGGAGGGGGGAGGGTGAGCGAACGGCTGCGTGGTGTTTAGCTGCCGGCCGGGTTAAACCACGACAGCTCCCTGAATGGTCCATAACAAGATCAAATGAGTGCCTAGTGTCGGCCCAAGGGAGGGAGTTAGGATCATGGTGTGTGTGTAGGGGGGGCGGGGAAAGCAGGTCAAAAACATCTTCTGAATAGCAGCAATGGGTTGAACAGTTACTGCTCACTTCCCACGCTCGTGTCTAACTCCCCTTGTAGTATTTGTGCAGCTTCGTGGGGAATTGGCTTACATAGCTGATTTGGCTGAAAAATAATGTTTTCCCTGTTATCTTTCAATTAGGTCAGTTTCGTAATCCAGGTAAGGGCTGTCTCTCATAGACAGTTATGGTAAGAAGTGTAATGTGTCTCAAATAAGGATCCAAAAGGAGGAAGCAGATAGGTAGAAATGGTTTGTGACAGTTTTGTTTTTTTTTACTCAAAATTTTGTATCATCAAAATATCTGCTGTGTGGCATTTAACTCTTAAATTGAAAAGGACAGTCTTTATGTAAATACTAGACAGATTCAGATTTTTTTTTTTTGGAGTGGGAAAGAAGTAGACAAGGGGAATGGAGAAACAAAACCTGGGTTTATTTTTGGGGGTGTTTTAAGGCCTTTTTTGTGCCTTGTTACATACTTGGTGCCCTCTTGGAGACGAGTGCCTGTTGTAGTTGGGGAAATGCTAGACTGGTGGAGGTTTTATTTGTTACAGGACGTAGTAACACTACTAGTCAATGCTGTGTGTGACTTGCATAACAAGCTGGAGCTGTATCCATGCATATAGATTTCAGGGGTTGTGATGCTTTCCAGTATGTACGGAGGCAGTTGACTGACTAGTCATCCAGTTGTTGACTTTTGCTGAATCCTTCCCTTGGATTTCCAACTGAAGATGTTTTCGTGGAATGTTCAGCTGCTGTGAGTGCGTGAGGGGGAAGTATTCTAAATCCACTGGAATTTCCCCCAGGTCTCCAGCGTCCATCTTGGCTAATTGGGTCTGAAGAAGGTCTGGAAGCTATTGTAAATCTGCTCCTCCTCTCAGCGTGCAGCAGTCCTTGCACAAGATGTTTACAGGCCCTGTCAGATCACTACATGAAGGAATCTAATCTGCCTGCCGTTCCCCTTCTGAAGAACAGCACATCAAAGAAATGACAGTGTGTTTGATGTGTGTGCTTGCCTCAGTGAGTGAATGTAATGGATTAACAGCAGCTGGAGGAGGAGCCTGCTGGCTTCCAAGAGTTACACAAAAATAAGTCTCCCAGGGATCTTTGCTTGGAGTCTGTTCTGCACAGATTTGTTTGAGGGCACAAGTGTTTTAGCATCAGGCCTGGGAGAACTGTTGCTTTTCAGTCTTCCACTCTTGCTTCTGTGTCAGCTTCATCAGCTTTGTTGACTTTTACATAGAAGTGATTGCAGTCAGGACACTTGACAATTTTGACAATGGCTATGACTCCTTGCTGCTTTTATGGTATTATTCATTAAGTTTAGATATTTTCCATGTGTTTTCAGAAGGCCGTTTAATCAAACGGTTCCTTGGATTGACATGAAAAGAAATTTTGGGAAGGTGAATGGAGCTAGTTTATATAAGTCAAATTGTTTTGCTCTCTTATGGGTCTTTTGGGTCAGGATGTATGTTTATTCCATTGTGCCCTCTCCTCCTAAATTGTGATCATCCACCTTTAGTGATAGGCAACCTGAGGTTTAAACTTTATTACTGTGGGCTGCTTTTGTCTGCCCTTTTCTGTGATTTCAGGGAGAAACTACAACCAATAAAGAGTCTGAACTGTTTCTTCCATGTCTCAGCAGTCTTTTATTTTTATCAGGGATTTCTATAGGGATATAGGTGATCCTGATTGGAAGCAAAAACATTTAAAATAAGGTAGGGATGACTAGCTCTACTGGCTTGTCTGGAAAAGTCTGAGCACATATGGTCTGTTATGATATGCTAAAAGTAGTCTCTTAGGTGCTATTTTGCTCCAAACTTCCAGTGAGGAGACCAGGGTTTTTGTTTGTTTGTTTATTCTCCTTCTTCCCCTTTCCTCATCAAATGCTAGCCTTTGGAGCTTAGTTACTGCTGCAAAAGGAGTAGGGGAGGTAAGAGCCTGGGTCTGGAGTTACAAGGTAAAGCTCAAGGATCACAGCGTGGACATGCGTTATCTAGCACAGCACTCTGGCAAGGTTTGCCTTCCTTTCCAGAGGGTAAGCAAAACCCACTCATTATTGGAGTCTTTTTTTTAATAGGATTGGAAGCAGAAGTGACAGCTGCAAAATGCTTCTTGAATTGAGTTACTCAGAGGTTTGTGATAGTCTGCATCCTATATGCTGGTGCTTTGCTGCCATTGCTTTGAATACACTAGCAGTTTTAGGATTTACAAACACAGTTGTAGGTAGGATCTTCCTGCTGTATGGGAGAATGCCTGGAATAATGGAACCAGCTTTCCACCCATCTTTGGCAGTAGTTTCAATTACTCCAGTGTCTAACTGAGCAACAGCAGATGAGGGGTCACATAGGAATAGTCATACTGGTGCAAATAGTTGTTCATCTGCTACAGATTGATTCCTACAGAGCATTGTATATGGCTTTCTATCCGTGACAGAGTGTAACTGATTGCAGTACTGCATGTGGTGGCAACATACTCATTTTTTTTTTTTTTTTCATCTAGGAGGGTAATTGTTTTTCATAATCTGAAGATTGAATGTAATAGCTAGGATGCTCTGGGTTTGTCTGTCACTTCCTGCATGGTAGCATTTGATGCATTGGCTTGGTTGGAGAAGTGTATTCCCCCTCTAAATAAAATAAGAGATACCTCAGTACTGAAACCATTCGGATCTGTTGCAGCTGGTCCCATAGTAGTTCTCAGCCCCTCACTTCCCTGAATGAGACCCATCGCTCAGGACTGGTTTTACAGGTTGCTTTATTTGGATTTGTTGAGTCTAGCAAGCAGAGCCTGTCAGTTTTGTTGTGACTTGCCTTGTCCCATATTATCATGCTGTTGCATACTTTATTTAGAAAGGCTTAAGTTTTAACCTTTAGATCAAGGCTGGAGATAGACTGTTGTAATTAAAGCAAACAGAAATCTGAATTCTGGCCTGTGCTTAACAGGTTTGCTCTCCCACATCCTCCATCTGGAACTCTTTGATGTGCTCTTGCTCTTGAGGATTACTCAAGGATTGAGTATTGTTTTCCAGATGGTGTGTTCAATTCTGAGTGACTCCTGATTCCAGCTAATTCACTTATATTTAATTGAAGCTGCATTTTTAGTCTAAATGTAAATATCCTTGATGAATTTTTCTAGAACTTAATGGCTATATCCCTTTGTTTTTCTGCTCTATAGACTCACTGACTCTTTCCCTGATCATTTATTTCATATCCCTTTGTACTGGGCTAACGAGATACATGTTAAAATACTACGCAAAACATCGATTGTATATATATTCTGAGCTGCTAATCTGTGATCTGTTTTGGACAAAATAGAGAGACTGCATAAGGTATTGACAAAGCTAATGGTGTTATATAACTCCAATTGAACATTATGATGATACTTAAGATTAGAGGAACCACTGCATTGAAAGTAGTACGTTGTGTTTGGGTACACAGACTCATCTTCTGCTGTGCAAGCAGATTGATAGTGTGCTAAGGGTTATTTTGCATCCTTACCTGGATAGAGAATCTTATTCCTGTCTTAAGATGGTCTTTCTGTAATAATGATTATAAATAATCACCTTTGTGTTGGGTTTGTTGCATGCCTACTTGTGGTCTTAACAGCTACAAAGTAGAAACTTCTCTAACCACAGTAGTCAGTGTGGCCACAGCACAGACATCCTCCGTAACGTGCAGTCACTTCAGGATTAGTTACTTGGTTGACTGAATGGATTTTGGCTCCTGCTTAAATGATCCTTTTTCTTCATAAATCTGGGAGATAATTTTGTGGCTGGGAGTATTGTAATTTAAACAAACACGTTTTGGGTTACATGATGCTGAAAGCAGGATGTTTTAAATAATGAACCCAATTCATTTAACTCCTTTATAGGAAAGTTAGAAGGAACCCAGGCTCGATCACTGATTGCCTTTTCTTACAGGCTTTCCGTTCCACCCCCCAGGTATGATGCTTGCAAATTAAAGCATAAGATAGAGAATGAGTCAGACATGTCCTGAAGGTAGTTGTCAGTGGTACAAAATCTAGTTGGAGGCCAGTAATAAGTAGAATGCTCCAGGGCTTGATGGAGGGTCCAGTCCTGTTAAAACATCTTGATTAACGATCTGAACAATGAAGCAGAGTGCACTCTAAGCAAGTGTGCAAATGACATGAAGCTGGGGAGAATAATGGATTTCCCAGAGTCATGCTGCCACCCAGAAGGACATGGACAGGCTGGAGAAAGGGACTGACAGAAACCTCATGAAGTACAGCAAGGAAATGTGCAAAGTCTTGCACCTCGGGAGGAACAATCCCAGACAACAGGATGTGCTGGGGCCCCTGTGCAGCTTGAGCAGTGGTGTTGGACCCGAAGGCCTCCAGAAGCCTCTCTTGTCCTCAACCATTCTGTGATTCTGAGTCCCTGAAGGTACAGGTGATAGGTATGAGTAATGTGATAGATATAACTGATCTGAGTTCTTACTTAAATTTTGTGACACCTGAACACCTAGTAGATGAATGTTTTATAAGCATATTTAAGAGAATGTGTCTGTGACTGATTTTGCAGAATTGCAAATAGTACAGAGAAATGATTGAAATAGATCTTTTTAAAATTTCTAATTTCTGGAGGGAAATACTGGAGTACTTTCAGGCTGCCAGGGCCTTGTAGATTTTGCTTTTTTTCTGTGAAGTTCACTCCAATCGCTAGCCTCAAATAACTGAGAAGACAGTGAAGTGCCAGAATTAATTTACATAACCCTCTAAGTTATTTGCAAAGTTCTGTTTGAATTTAGTAATAACACAGGCATAATAGTACATAAAATGGCAAGTTGATTCAGTGACTAAATTCAGCCTCTTTTGTTTGAGGTCTCAGGAGATGAGCAAGGATGTGGCTGTCAGGTGGATTTCATTAGCTGATTTGTAGAGGTGGATTCTGTTAGTCATAGGAGTTGTGTGAGTATTTCCTGGTGGGGTGAGGCATAGGAGAAAGCTTGGTGGTCTCTATCTACTGTAGTCTGCTGTTTAGAGAAGCAGATAATAAAGAAAATTAACATTTAGTATTTTACTATTTTATGTTAACCCATTCAATTTTAATTTCTTCAGTTCCCTGGCACACTGCTTTGCCTTTCTGATTGCAGGTTGAATCCCAGGGGTTCGAGTTTTATGCATTGCTTTTATTTATTTATTTATTTTCTAAAAAACAAACAAAAAACACAAAGAACTTGGAAGAATGAATATAATTGTTGCTCATGTTTACTTGGATGAGCGCTCTGTGCTGAATCACTATTTGTTGTGCTGGTTTTCCTTGCACAGAATAATCCGCCATCAACACTTATGTTTGGTGTGCTGTTTTTTTTTCTCCCGCAAGATAATACACTATTAATGCTTGTTATTTTTTGTTCCTGAGGGGGGAATTGGATTTGGAAAGAATACTGATCATAAGAAGACGCTTTTTTTTTTTGTTAAAGCTACATCAGTTGTTAAGCGGAAAATCTACTTCACAGCTTCTTGGTTAATAATGGGAAGAAAAAAAAAAACACAACACAATCCTTCCATCTTTAATTGTTCTTTCAGTTCTCTAAATTGTTTTCTGCACAAATTAAATTCTCCATAGTGAAGCTGGGAGATGCATCAAGGTAGGGCACATAGTTCACTTCTGGACATGATGTTCCCAGTGGCATCAAATGATTCTTACCTACAGTGGAAGAGAGGAGTCATAAACCAAGTCTAGACTACAGAGCCTGATCGCTCAGTATAAATCGAAGAGGTAGACTGTACCCTCCTAATTGTAGGCTTGGGGCCAAATCAACTCCTGTAGTAGAAGTTTACATCTGCAACGATTCTTAGATTGAATGCTGATACGATTGGAACCAGACTTGATTCCAATTCCAGAGTTAAGTACTAAGGCACGTACTAGCTGCCTGTACAAAATTCTGGTCAGGGCTTGTTAATGCTTACAATGGTGGCTTCTGCAGTAATGAAAGAAGCAGAGAGTGTGTGGCAATTATCTGATTAGAATTTAGGGAGGCTTGTGACAAAACTCCAGGTTGATACCAGAATAAGTGATCTCTGATAGGATTCTGAATTAATGAGGGAACCGAGTCATCTTCCATATACGCCTTCACATTTCAGTGATGCAAGAACACGCACATTTCTGCACGCAGTGGGCACTGCTGGTTGCATGAATGATCTTGGATGGATGAAAACTGAGACTTGCTATGGTAGATTGTGATTGGCTTTTTCCTTTCCATGTTTGATCAAATGAATATGTGATAAAGCTTCTATTCTTGAATGCCGCAGAATTGCTTATCTGCAGGAAAATGGGAAGAGTAGTATCTTTTTAAGAATAGCACTTGGGTCTGCCTTCTTCACAGCCCTGAACTGGTTCTCCCTCTTTTCTATGCTATGAATCCTTTGCTTATATCTTCCTCTGCAGATGGCCTGTCATCAGCTTGCATCATTGCCTCACTGGAATACTCACCTATATGTTTATCTTCACTTTTTCTAGAGCAGCAGCCTTTTCTTTGGCTTTATTTCGTCCCTGGTCCCTAAAATCTAAAAGCTTCTGCTGCTTGTTGTTGTTGTTGTTTTAAATCTTTCTGATGCTAAGACAAGCAACCTCTCTGTTCTCACATTATTTGCTTCAGAGCAGTATTTAATTCTGTTCTGTTGCTGCGCATACATGGGAAGAAACTGACCCTTCCTTAAAGTACTGTCTATACATTAATAAACTATTGAACTTAGATAAGGGTTTAAAAAGAGCAAGTACTAGTCATGTTACAGATTAGGCACTGAGGCACTCTAAGAATGATGTTGAATTTATCTTGTAAAATTGACTCACTTCAGAATTAACTTGAAGAATTATTTCTCCTTTGTTTTTCAACTTGTCAGGAGTTGTGTTTAAGGAACAGTGAGTGCACTGGAGCAAATTCTTTACTTAATTTCTAATACCGATTCTGTGAAGTGTGTAACGGCTGTTGCTGGAGTAACAGGGAGGAGGGTGATGCTAGCTAATTTTGCTTCTTACTATTTCTCTACGTTGGTTTTGGAAGGGATAGACTGCTCTACAGACGCTACAGTATTTTGCTGTTTATTGCAGGGAGTTTATGGAACAACACGGTGAATTCTGTCCAGTCTGTATTTACATGCGAGATGAGGTAAGTCACCAAAACCTTCTTAACCATCTCTTCTTAGCTCCACTTTCCAACCTGGAAAGTGTTTCTTTTGAACTTTCTTAAGAGGGGAAGTAGAAAAATGTTGGTCTTTTGAAAGCCTGACAAGTCTGTATGGAAAAAAGCTTTTTTGGAACATAACCCAGAGCTGTTTAGACCTCTGAGCCCATAAAATGAGCTCAATGACTTGTTTGTGTTTTTCTTTCCAACTTCTTTTAAAGCTCAAGAGTCAAAACAGTGGTTTCATTTTAATAAATATTTGCTTTCCTCTCTGTTTTGATCTTTTGCTGTTAATGTTTTGTTTAAAATTTTGTATGTGTGTATTATGGAATTCGTTCTCCCTAGCTGTCCCCTTCACTTCCCACTGACCTCTGTGGACAGATTGTCTTTATTCTGGAATGGGTCATTACAAGCAGATGGGAAGTGTATGTAATGAAATCAGCTGTCTTCTAGCTCAGATATGTTGCCTCTGATTTAACTGCTGACATAAAAATAATGCTTTGCTGAGGTTGAATCAGATTTGGACGTACACATGGGACAGAAACATGTATAGGTCATCTTCAATGAAGATCCCTTAGTAAGCAGTGAATATGGTAAAGCCAAATGGGCGAATACAGATGTATTCAGGTCTCATTTCCAACTGCAGAAAGCATGTGCTGTGAGTTGTTTCTGGTGCTGTGTGATGATTATCTTAATATAGGCTTCACTCTAGAAAGAGCTCTTTAAATGCTCTCAGATAGACAGTTACTATCTTTTTTTCCTCTGTTTTTGTTACAGATCTCAGGAAAAGATGAACTAGAGAAGACAACACTGAAGTCACTTGGTCTGACTGGAGGCAGTGCCATCATCAGGTTGGGAGGAGAAAAGTTTGGGCTCTTTATTCTTCATTTTCACTCTAGTGACGAATTTGTTTTGTTTCAAGTACCAAAAAGTTGAATGAAAATAATTCAAAAAAGACAAAGATCACTGCGCTTGGTAAAACTGCCTGTTTACCTGAAACTTCTGCCCATGAGGTGGGGAATAGACAATGACAGGTTTTCTGTGATCATCAAGCCAGTTTTTTATAATATATACAGAAGGTGGGAATGATTACAAACTGTGTTTTACAGCTGACTTTTTTCTTCCCTGGAGGGCGATTTTCTTCTCTTCCTGTGGGGAGGGTAATTCCTGTTTTGCTTCCTCCCTCCTCCTAACTTCAGAGCAACTGCAACTGGTTCTTTGTAGCTCTGGAAGAAGCAGATTATTAAACTATGGTTTAGCTGTCTCCTTTGTGTCTTGGTCATGTTGAGAATTGGGAGGACAGCACTTATGATAAATAATCTTTTTTTTTTCTGGTGTTGTCTTTAAGGGTTGTCATGAAGAAATGCAGTTTGTCTGGTCAGGAGGAAGCTGTGGATGCCATGACACAGTGTAATGAGCCAGTGGTGAGGCCAGGCTCTATCAGAGGAGCAGAGGATGTGCCCTTACCTCAAATGCACATGTTCCCAAAGGACTTGGACCACAGGGATGTGGCCTTGTCTTTAAACTGCTGCACAGACAATCAAGGCTTGATTAGAGAACCTAATGCCAGTGTGGAGGAGCTGTGTCCTCCCTCAGAGCCCAAGTCTACCCCATTTGTCCCTTTTTTTGGAGATGGACAGCGTCTGGGGGACACTTCTGTGGCTACTCCACCTCTTGGGTTAGATAAGCCATCTTCAAAGCTGCCAGCAACTTTTTCTAGCCCTGGAGGCCCTTCTGAGCCAAAGAAGTCAAAGAACAGCCAAGAGCTGCAGAATGAGCAAGAGCAGGTAAGGTAAAATTTGTTTGCAGTGAAGGCTTTGTATCATGCCTTGCCCTAAGTGGGGAAAGATGTTTCCATATTTGAGATGTCTTGTGTTTCTTCCCTCCCCTCCCTCCCCCAGTTTAGCATTGTATGCCTTGGTGATATGTAGTTCTGCCAAGTAAGTTCAGTAACTTACATTTTGGTCTGTTTACTATAGGATGTACAAAAGATGGGAATTTATGAATTTGTCCACTGTCCAGAGGCAAGCAAAGCTTTGAACCTTGAGATATCCTTGGTGATTGGTTCTAATGCAAGCAACACAAGTGCATTAGAAACAGCCCAGAAGAGCTTAAATTTCTGCGTCAAATTTCATGAAAAGCTAAATGTCTTTAAAAAATGCCCACTTGTCACCTGAGCCCTGGAAACTTGGCTTTTTTTTTTGTTGTTGTTGTTGCTATCTACTATGTAATTTTTCTGAAGGTGAGCAGAGTTTGTCCAGACTTATATTTTCTATTACTAAGAAAGTGCTTGCTGCTTGTTGTGACTGACTTGCCCTCTGAATGATCTGGGAGATGCAAGTCTGGCAGAGTTTTCCACATGGAAAGGGATAACCTTTCTAGCTCGTTGCAGGATTATGTCCTAGGAGAAGTGGTCTTAACAGATTTGCTGCAACTTGATCACATACTTCTAAGACCTGAGAAGAGAGAGTTTCGAACTCTTAGGTTGTAAGGTGTACCCTATTTCTCATCTAAGATGTTCTGTGGAACACTGAACTTCATAGTGAAGCAATTGTGAAAGCAGCATCCAATGCTGGTGGTTGTTAACATCTGCTTCCTCAGTTCCTCCTGTCCATGCTTGCTTCAACTTACCGCTTAACTATTGGTGACACAGTGGATTGCAAGGCTCACAGATGTAGGAAAGGAATTTTTCAGCTACAGTTGCATCACTTTTGACAAAATGTAGCTATTTGAAAAATGAGGTCTGGGCATCTTCTCTTCCTTTCAGCCTACCCATTCCTTCTGTGAGTCTTAGTTTTCTTAGTATTGCAGGTGATACAGAAACCTTCCTTCCTTTTCCCTACTTCTGTTTGCATATGAAAGTATATTTTGTCTTGCTTTTAAGTATCTTGCTTCTTAAATAAAGTCTACCTCTCTTTAACAGTTTTCCTGACAAATTGTGTGTGTATCTGCATTGTTGGTGTCTCCAAATTAAAAATGAATCAGTTAAAATTAAAAATGCTTTAAGCCATATGTTGATACCAGAACTGGTGGCTCAAGAGTGCTATATTGTTGATACAGGATGTCTTTGAATGATGTCAGATACACTTTCTGTAGGTCAGCTATATGAAATTGAATGCCCTCGGCAAGGATGGATATGTCTGACAAGTAGCATAGAAGAAAGTACCAGAGATGTTAATAATGTATCTTTGTTAAGTTGTGAATTTGTGTGTTGGGAGTTTCATGTCCCAGGTTCTCTGTGACCAGCTCCTTCCCTTGTCCCCTCACTGCACACATCACCAGGGCTGGATTTAATCTTCAGAGATCTCCTCTATTTCCCAGTTTTTAGTACCTCCTAGAGTTGGAGTTTGGTGTTTATCTTTGGTTCTGATCCAGCCAAGGGATTAAACAAAGAAAAGCCATACGCAGGAAGAAAAGACGCCCGATAAGGTTCCAAGGGCACTCAGTCCAGGAGGAATTTAACAAGGCTATGTGTGTGCCCTCTCATTGATGCAGAGATTCTACCTTGGTTGACTTCTTTGTGGTTGCAGTCCATTCTTCATGAGTTTCTGAATTGTTTAGGTGGAGAAGCCAGACCCTGGAAGGACTCTGGAACAGTTATAAACGTAGAAGAAAGAGGTCTTGCCAACCCAGTGGTGAATGTTTTAGTATATTAGAAACATGTTTGGGTCCATTTAATCAGTGTTATTTAACCTTTTGGAACAGACTCTGAGTGTGGAGTCCTGAACAGTAGGCTGGGTGATTTGTCTGCTGTAATGCATTGCTTGCTTCAATCACACTCGCACCTATGAGTGATTTGTAAAGGAGGAGTTTTAATTGTGTCTGAACAGAAGGAAGGAACGGTGCAAGTGTTAGGTGTTACTTAATCACCAGCCTTTTGTCTGCGCTTCTCCGTGTGCTGACTGGAGAGACAGAACTAATTTTATAGTTTTATTGGCTACAGCTTAATGTGAGGTTGTGCTGATGGTCACAGAGCTGCACCATGGTGGCCTAGGGACTCTTGTTTGTGATCCAGGATCTTTCTCAGAATTGCAGTCCAGTTCAAACCACTTAGAGGCGCTTCGGGAGCCAGCCATCCTTCCAGTTTGAGAACAGTTTTGGAAGCAGCTGCAGATTCTGTTGGGGGGGGTCTGCCCTTGTGTTAAACAGCATGTGATTCTGACTGCTGCTTTCAAGCCCTTTGATCTCTGGTGCTCTTGCTGCTGATTGATTACATTTTGTTCCCTCCTCCATTCCTGCCATCCTCTGCTCTCAGCAGCAACAGCAGAGCAGGGCTAGCCACATGGCATCTGCTTTTTGTCCCTTTTCAGTCCTGAGGAAAAAACAAAACAAAACAAATTATTTTTAAACATCAAAGGTTCATTTTTGTAAAAGAATCTTCCCATTAATGCTTTGCCTGTGTGTGGTTTTTGGAGCTGCAGAGAGGCTGGATAAAATCTGTGCTGGCGTCCCTTCATTTCTTAGGATAAAGATGGTTTACAGACAGCTGCATGCTGACTTTGATGTCAGAACATTAATTATTAGAAGGTAACTTTACACCAGATTTCCCTGGAGATTAGAGCTCCCTGAGGTGGTGGGGAGGAGGTGGGTCTGCAGGGAGAGCTTACTGCTGTGGAAAACACAATAGCCACCACTATACTTCAAATTAAATAAGGGTTTTCCTCAGCTTACCTGCTTACTTGGGGCCAGGATAGTGACCTTAGACTGAATTGCATTCTTTCTAACACCTAGCTGTATTGCATAGACTGCAATTGCCTGGTAGGCACTGTTGTGAATAGATGGCTTCAGCCTGCTGGTGAAAAGTGTGTAATGTCTTAGCTTTGGTAGAAATAGAGATTTCGAAGAACTGATATTTTGGGAAGGTGACAAACCATAATGCAGCATCTTTGGCTTCTGAAAGGTATTACTGACAGAAAGATAACAGCACAATGCATAGATTTCCTTCCTTCCAAGTTACATAGTGAAAGGCAGAAACTGCCCTTATGGTGGCCATCTTTTATTACAGGAGATAGCTAGCTACATTTTGGCACTTGAAGAAAATACCAGATTGGAAACGGAAAGTGAGTAGGTTTACCTGGTAGAGTCATTTTTGTAAGTAGCCATGGGAAGGTAGCTTTCAGATTCTGCCTGTACTTCGGTGTTGTCACTGAGGCTTTAAAGCAAAGCTGTAGTGAGAGTATTTAGATTGGGAGATCCCGAATTGGAAGAGTTAAGTGTGTAAATGGTAATGGATAAAGAAACAGGATTTTTTCTGATTGCTGGACTCTGGGCGAGGAATTGGTGGAACAACCTCTTTCTCTCTGAAGTGTTTCTTATGTCTGTAAGGAGGTGAGATTTATGGTTGGTTCCACTGGGTGTGAAATACATGGCAGAAGGAGTAATACGATGTGGCAGACTTTGCATCCTCAGAGTCACTATGGTTATGTCTCTTCATTGCTAAGTTGTGTCTAGTAGACACCTTGTGCTGCTCTTCTCTTACAGACCTTATCATGTAATTCTGAAATTGAGTTGCAGAAACATTGAAAAACAAGCTCGAAACACCTCCGTTATTTTCCACAAAAACTCAGTTGCTACAGCTCTCTCCAGAATTTTCACTGTTATTAGGAGGGATTCACTGAAAATTTAATATTAGGAAATTCTTACTGTAGTTGTGTGTTTTTGCAGTCTAGTTAGATGTAAACAGATATGCTTTTTCTTTCGTATAGAAGACAGTGTGTTTCTTCATGTTAAGGGGTAGTGAAGTTATGTGCCAGTTTGGAAGCTAATACAGTCAGCATTCAGTGTTGGCTGGGGAACAGAAGAAATTACACAGTTACATTTCAGCTGCTAAGTCTATGTCTGTTCTGGGCACTATAGGTATGGTGCAGAGAATTAAACAGGCACATCTTGGCTGAATATAATTTGGAGGGCAAGAACTGGGCGTTTATGTCTAGGAAGAAGTAGTTTTGTGTCACAGCGCATACGTAGTTCTGCTGGGCTGAGTGACTGTAGAAGGGGAAGTTCCTGCTGGCACAGTGCTATCTGCAGCCAGTTGTCTCAGCAAAGATGTCTGGAAAGCGAGGTGTGAATGGCAGTTCTAAGGCAGCCTGAGATGGTGAGTGCACAGCGAGAAGGGGTGACAGCTGAACACCGTGGGCTGGGATATACATCCACTTTCTGCTATGTTATTATTTCTGTTGTCTGGGCTGAAGCTGTCTTTAGCTGCTCCCATGGTTTGGGCAGTGATTGACACTTTCCGCTTGGAATCCTGCTGTTGTTATCACTGGTGCTAAATGATAAGTTTAGGATTTGCTAATGCAGACTTTGTAATTCCACTGTATGTCAGCACCACCTTTCACAACATCCCATAGGGTATGTCTGTGTGTTTTTGTTTTTTTTTTTAAACTTTGGAAGGAGAAGTCTGTTTTCAGTATGTGTGTTCTGAGTGAAATGAAATACAAGCCTGTTGGAGGAGACTGAAGTATACCTGATTATTTGGGCGGCCTGGTTAATTCTCTAACACTGATCTGCCCTTACTGGATCAGTGGCTCATGGCAGTTAGGACTGTTGTGCCACAGGCTCTTTCCCAGAGGGTGGCTCTGTATGCTCAGGATCATTTCATGCAGGCAGCTCAGGGAGTTCTGCAGCCCTGGACGTTCCTCCTCTGAGTGCAGGGAAAGCTGCAATCAGGGTCCTTCACCCTCTAGTTAAAGCTGACTCTGCTCAACTTTCTAAATGTAGCCAAGGGTCCCACCCATACAACATCGCTCTTCTAATTTCTCAAATTACCCTTTAGTGCCCACAAATAGAGTGAACATTGCCTTGTAATTTGTGTCCTCTCTTTTGACAATTGAGGGAGACTCCTTTGCTTCCCAAGGGGCCTGTGCTTGGGGGAAGGGAGAATAGATGGAACAGATGGCAGGAGGAGAGGACATCTAGGCACTCATTTGGATTGCAAAGAGTATAAGGCAATATATACTCTTAATATTGCCATATATAAGGCAATATATACGTATTTGTTCATAGAACCTAGGGCTGTGTTAGGCTGGCAGCTGACTGTAAAGAAATGCTGTATCAACTACCAACATTTTTGTTCTGGTGGGCCTCTCCATTCGTGGACTCCTTCCCCCCTGCATATCCTATAGGCTCTAGCACAATATTCTGTTTTCAAGCTTTGGGCATTTACAAATTTCTAGAATTCAGGAAGTTTGAATTGTTCAAGGTCCAGTAGGTATAACTGTCTTTTGTGTATTTGACTCCTGTTGTGGTTTATATTCACATTCTGACACAGCTGCTTCTTTTGGTGTCAGGGATAGTAGCCAGTATCTAACCCCTTCTAAATTGGAAGGGATATGGAGTGTCAGTCTCCCTTCAGAGATGATGAATCTCTGATAGTTTGGGAGTGTGTGTGTGCATTCATATATGTGTATGTATACAGATGTATATAAAACTGCAGCCGCAGTTATAGGACAGGACACGAATGGGCTGACAGGTTTGCAGTTATGATATCCCACTGCCAGTGATGGGCTTTGGAAGCAGGGGGAGCAGAGTGGCCAGGCTGCCTGTGCCTTACAAGAAAGAGGGGTACATTGGAGGTCTCTGCTGTTTGAACAGCATACCCACAGCAGCTGTGGTGTGGGGAAAGTTGCCAATAAATGTAATGAGTACCTTTATTGCAGCTAATGCATATACTGAAGTGCTCCCCCACCATCTGTCTGCTTTGCCTACAACAAAGGTTGATTTCTTTCTGAAAAGGGTTTTGCTGTCCAAGGGAACTTTCTGCGTCAAATGACACAGAATACTTACCAGAAGCAAGGCTGAAAAGTTGAAACGTACAATGAAAACCTGCAGTGACTCAGTTCAGAGAACTCAAGAGGTCAAAGGATGGCTCTCTAGAGTAAGGAGAAATGGATTGAGACCTAGTACCCTTGGCTCTGTGGCAAGAGAATGCAAGCCAAGAGAACATAAAGCGTGACGACAGGCAGGAATACATGGCAGATGAACAATTTAAAAGGGCAGTTCATAAGCAGTAGTACATAGAAATAGCACCTGTATTAGTTGTGTACTGCCTGTAGGATGGTAAGAGAGTGGAGTGGAGACGTAAAGTATGATTTTAGGATAGGAATGCTTATAACAAGGTTATAGCTACCAAAATATCATTGTGCTGTCATGTCATTGAGAAGATCCCACATGCCCGTCCTGGAGGGGAGTAATCTCTCCTTACATTACCTGACTGCTGAGGTTATTGCCCTGGTTCTCCTATACAGACAGGAGAGCAGCTGGCTGTTAGGGGGTCACTCATCAAACAATATAGGCTTCTACTGCTTGTTGGGAGGAATTGTGCCACAGGCTCTATCAACTATAAAAAAAATAACTAGTCAAAACAATGGCAGCCTGGATACAGTCAGTCTATGATCATATGGTCATGAATTCCACACTAGTAATTGTAGTTCAGTATGAACACACTGTTCTTTGCTTATTCTGAAAGGTTCCTGAAAAAAATAGTGCATTTGAGACTAACCTAAGCCTGTTTTTATTCTGTAGTTTGTGGAACGAGAGCCACTTTTATGTCACTTAGACCTGCTAGAACCACTTCCTGCTGGCCTAGATGACCTTCCTGATGATTTTTTTGAAGTCACAGTGGATGATGTACGGAAACGTTTGGCACAACTGCAGAGTGAGAGGTAAGTTCCCTTTCTGCTGGTGTTTGAGTTTGCTTCATATTATTTTGCTGAGCAGAGTAACACAGTGCTCCTATTGATGGCTGTGATTTCTGGGGAGAGGGTTGTAGGTAAGTTACTGGATATGGAATTACTGAATTAATGATCAGCACTGGAAATCTCTGCCCTTTATGCTGTTTAAGTTCAAGGGCTATCCCATGTTTCTGTGACAGAATGTATGTTTTTGTGTGAACTGGTTGACTATTTGTGCATGAGATAATTGTTTTACTTGGATTTTGAAAATTTAATGAAATGAAATGTCTGTGATGCCTGTGTGGTGGTAAGTTTATCTGAGAACCTCAAGGTAATGAGGGCCAGGCCCTCACTAAGGAAAGGATTAAAAGAAAGGTCTCTTTCTGCCTTCTGCATTTCAAAGAGTTACTCAAAGCTACTTAACACACTGTCTCTTTTTCTTCCTTTTCTTCCCCCTTCTTCTTAAAGAGCAACCACTGTCTATAATTAGATGTGTTTTGTTTTGCGAGACGCTCAAAGCAGTGGTGAGCTCCTGCTTTCTGTTTTGATCTGATTTCACATTTACTACTAGGAATTAAATGGCTGGAATTAACAACTTCTAATGGACAAAACATATGAGCACAATGATAGCTTTGTGAGAATAACTACCATTGAGTATGCTGGGCTGCATCAAAATAAGCATGGCCAGCAGGTCACGGGAGTCAGTTCTCTCCCTCTGTTCTGTTCTCGTGAGACCCCACCTGGAGTACAGTGTTCAGCTCTGGGGCTCCCAACATAAGAAGGACAGGGACCTGTTAGAGGAGGTCCAGAGGAGGGCCACAAGGAGGATGATCAGAGTGCTGGAGCACCTCTCTTATGATGAGAGGCTGAGAGAGCTGGGGTTGTTCAGCCTGGAGAAGAGAAGGCTCCAGGGAAGCCTTATAGCAGCCTTCCAGTACCTAAAGGGGGCTACAGGAAAGTTGGGGAGAAGCTCTTTATCAGGCAGGTAGTGACAAGACAAGGGGTAATAGCTTTAAACTAAAAGAGGGTAGGTTTTATGTCAGACATTAGGAAGAAATTCTTCATTATGAGGGTAGTGAAGAACTGAAACAGGTTGCCCAGAGAAGCTGTTGATGTCCCATCCCTGGAAGTGTGTGAGACCAGGTTGGGTAGGGCGTTAGGCAACCTGGTCTAGTGGAAGGTGTCCCTGCCCATGGCTGGGGGGTTGGAATTAGACGATATTTAAGATCCTTTCCAAACCAAACCATTCTGATTTTATGACATCATTAGCAGCTACTAGCTTTTTCAGCCAGTAAGAAAAGCCATGTATTTTAAGAAACAGCATTCAACTTTTATTAGACCTCATCAAAAAAGACCAACTTTGAGAAATTACCCAAATGGAAATAATGTAAAATTAAGCTTAACCACAAAGCAAGATGTGGGAATGTTTGGGATGCACATGAAGAGAGGGAAGAACTATAGGAAGACATTGTTCAAGTAGCTTGCTGTTGAATATTCATGACTTCATTGTACTTAAATTCCAGTTCTGAACTAAAAACTCAGGTTAAGGTAATGTTTGTCTCCTTATCACACCATTTTGCTGTCAACACATCCTTAAGAACTTAATTTCATTAATGTATTTATTTTCAAGAGGATCACAACGTTCTTTTAAACTTTACAAGTATTCTGTGAAACTTCAGGACAGCTCACTTTGCAATATAGCCAAGACTGAGCTGAACTTCTTATTTAGAGCTGTTCCACCTCCTCCACCCGTCAAGGCCTCTAAAATCCGCATGTGTACACAGATTGGCCTGAAAATTGCTCTGTCACTTGTGGGTCTGGAGTAGTTAGTGGTACAAATGTAGGGTCATTTGGTTGGGGGTTACTGGAATTCAGCCCCCTCAAAAAAGACGTCATTTCCAAATTTGCTGATGCTTGTAATCCTTTTTTTCCCTTGCAGCCAGGGATAAAAATAAAGGCAAGTTGCACATGAAACTGATACCATTTGACTTCTGATTTAAGCTGGTGAATCTTACCAAGAACTAGCTGCATGCAATGCAATGCTTTAAGTGCAGTTAGAATTTAACTCTAATTTCATAAAGAGCTGAGAATTGGTGTAAATCAGAAATTGGTACACAAGGAAGAAATGGAGCAGGTTAATTTTATGTTTGTTTTTCAAATTCTGAGTAATTCTTTCAGAGCATCTTTGTGGTGTACCAGCTGACAGTTCTGGGTACAATTGGTGAAGTAAGCCTGTAGTTGTTTTGTTCAGCAGCTGTTCCTGAGATACCTTGATGACTCTCAAAAAACAAAAAAACAAAACAAAAAAAAACAAACTGCAAAAGTATGTATATAGAGGTTCAAACTGTTGAGTTATAGTAGAGAGTTTTCAAACAGTTGTGCTAAATTTTAATTAGATGATCAAATATTTCACCAAAATTTAGTCTAGTAAATGAGTTATCTGGAATTAAGTACAAACAAGGAAAAAGATCTACAGCTGAACATGAGATTGAAAGGGATCTGTTGGATCTAAGCTTACTTTTTTACTTAGAGCTAAAAATACATTTTTCCTGAATGTACTGTTTCATTGTGAATACTGGCAGATCTTTTTTGCACCTACTACTCCCTTTAAAAGACCAGTCTGCAATGCCATTTCTTGAATGAGATGAAACATACTATTTTTGTTTTGTTTCTCTGTTGCTGATTAATTAACCTGTTAATTCTTGTGCCAGTATTGTTTTTTCAGTAGCTCTTCTCCCTCCCTGAAGTAATCTTGTCCCATGTTAGCCTCTATTTCATTGGTTTAATAAGTCCAGCTCTTCTCACACAATCTCAGCAAATGTTCTGCTGCTGTTCTTAGTAGCTTTTCTGGCACCTGCTCTAGTGAACTTATTTTTAAACTTGTACAAGAAAAGTAATTTTATACAATGCTATCACCAGTGCTCAGAAGTTCCATATATGAGAGTGGGGCAGGGAGCTGTGAGAGGTGGGGAAACTGCTGTGTGGGATACGTGGAACAATTGATCAGTTTTCATCAGCCCTGCTTCGACTTAACACTTTCTTAATAATATCAAAATATATCTTAAAATTATAGAAGTCATAGGTTGTCATCTTCCCATGTATCTAGGAAACGCCTGGAAGAAGCTCCACTGCTGACCAGTTCTTTGAGGGAGGCTCAGATGAAAGAAAAGATAGAACGTTACCCTAAGGTAGCCTTTGTTCTTTTTCCAGTCCTTTTGGCTAGTCCAAACTTGGGAATTAAGTAGCTTTGGAAAACAGCTGAGAACAACAGGATCTTCAGTTACTTACAGGAGGACTTTTCAAATTTCTGTCTCCGTTAATTGTTTGTGGGACTTGCGTAACAGTGGTACCACGTAAAATCAGCTGGCCTGTAATGGTGTTGTTGAGTTGCAGGCAGTACAGGTCTTTTTATTTGATTCCAGGTGATTGTTCAAAACCCTTATATGTGCACACATCAATATGTCTGACTGAGCTTTCCTATCTACCTGTCCTCTGTAAACTCTTAAGATTCAGTAATGTCTCATTACAGGGTAAATGATGTTATGGACTGGAGATATCTCGCTCTGTAAATATAATCCCAATGCAGTTTTTGTCGTCTGTCTTATTGCAAAGTAATAAGAGATTAAGTTCTCGAGTTAGGTGCTGTCTAACCAACACTGGAAATAGAATGGTACAATTTACTTCAGAAGTACTACCTGGGGTCTGTCTGACTGAGAGGATTCCTGCTACTACGGATGCTTTTTTCTGTACCTGTCTGTGTTAAGGATATAGAGTGACTTCATACTTAATTTGAGCATCACTTAGCACAAGGAGCTCCTTCTCTCTGAATAAATACTGCTGCATTGTACATCATAGTGTTTCTATAGATCAACTCTCTTAGTCTTTGAAAGACAGACCAAGGAGCTGCACAGCAATTGCTAGCCTCTATGTTATTTTGCCCACGTAGAGTAAATAGTTAAAATCTCCCTATTTAAAAAGAAACTTACTCACAAATTTGAAGCCAAGGGCACGACTTACCAAATAGCTATATGGAACTAACTTAATGTGCTTTGCCTCTGAGTCTAGGTAGTTTTGAGAGTCCATTTCCCAGACCGTCATGTTCTACAAGGGTTCTTCCGACCTAGTGAAACTGGTAAGAGGTATCTCTGCTTCAGTCTGTGTGCCTGCAGCTACCATCTCTCCTTGTTGGATAGTTGCATGACAGAAGAGGGGTGGTTCTGGAATGATCTTTCTGCTGTCCAGGGGAGGAATCGTGCTCTGAAAAAGCAGCTGTAGCTAGTTATACTGTCCTTATCCCTGAACTGGATGAGAAGGGAGTCTGAGGTAATTACCTTACTTAAGGGGAGTTTATTTCCAGGATTACTTGATGGAGACTGTCATGCTGTTTGATGGCAAAATATTTGTGCTCAGGAAAGTGTTCCACATGATTTCCCATTATTTGGGTCGAAATGGTATGTTACAGAGTTATTTTTTTCAGAGAGAATCTGTAAATGAGGTCTTGGTGGAGCAAGAGAAAAGTTTGCATGCTTCCTCTAAGTCAAAGCTTTTTTTTTTTTTTTGGGGGGGGGAGGAGGAAACCAGCAACAACAACAAACAACAAAACATGCACATGAAAAACCAAACCACAAACCTCCCTTCCCACGCGGGAAAAAAAGGGAGGAAACAAGATTTACCTGCTGTAATAAGGATAACGGGCTGGACCTTTCTGCCTCTATCATTTCAGAAAAGGTAGTAAGTTAGACTGCATACAGTGTAACCCTTACTGTTACTGATTTAGATCCTCGTATTCTGAGATGGCAGTGATGCTATATTTTGATGCTTTTCTATGGAAGAAAACCTAATAATTAGCTACTAGTGTCTTACCTGGCTACTCTGAAAATCTTGCAGCTGCTATTGGATTTCCTAGGAAGAACTTTACTGCCATCCTTAGATTTTTGCCAGGGGATGAACATGTCCAATTTTTTTCTAAGAAATTTGTAATGGTAATGGGTGTAGTGTACCAAATATGGTACAGTTGAGTGGAGCAAAAGGTGATCTGCAGATGCTGTAGAGGGCAGTTCTGTAGAAACAGATTAACCATTCTGCCCAGCATCTGAAGAAACAAATGTATTCAGCAAACCTTTCTCTCCTCCTTTTTTACAGTTGGCATTTTGAGAGACTTCGTAAGAAGCCATCTTGCAGATGCAGATTTACCATTTTATTTGTGTAAGTGTGCTGTTGGTAATACTTGACCTTACTTCACAAAGTCTATTTGTAGCTGTGATGTGTATGGGATCTTGTGATGCCATGAGAGATGACCTGGGGAGGGATTTTTTCTCCCTAAATGTGGCCTCAGAATGCAAAGGAAGTATAATCTGCTCACTTAGCCACATTATACATCTGCCTAATAAGAAGCCTATGTTGGCAGTGTGAAAGTGTCACTTTTTTCTCCCAAAAAAAAACAAACGGAGAAAAAGAAAAAAGCAGTAATCCCTCCCGTACCTGCTGTGCTTATTGTTTTGGTTGCTGGATGGTCCTGTTTTGTAACTTGTTTTTTTAACTTCAGTTATTGCACCTCCCAGAGTCATCTTGAATAATGAAAGTTTGACACTCTTTGAGGTAAGGACTCACGTCTGCTCTCTGATTCTTTGACTTGCTGCTTTCCCTTGCTGTCATGTGTTTTAGTTACTTAAAAAGAAGACATGTAATGTTATGATCCATGTAGACTTCTGCTTAGCCAAGAGTAATGGAACAAGGTATTTCAGAGCACAAGCTCCTCACCAGAAGAGGTCCACCTTGTGCAGGAAGATGCACTTCTGTTGTTACGGGGGTGGGGGGATTTGTGTTGTTGTATACATATGCTCAGTGCTTTTATGAAGTCCAAACCGTATTTAACCTTAAAACATTATTGCAAGAGCTGAGTTAATGACAGTTTGTTGTATCCTTAGTTGGCTTAATATAGTAGGAGATGTAACACTGGATTTGGGTAGGTACAGCAGGAGGTAGAGGCTACTGGATTTGGATAGGTACAGCAGGAGGTAGAGGCTACATTAGACAAAAGTCTGACGTTTTTGGAAGTTACTAGATGAGACTTCAGTTTCTCAAATCCATATTCCTGGATGCTTTTGCAAATGTCGTATAAGGTGGTCTTGAAGTCTTTGGCTAGAGATTCGTGTCTGTGTAAATCACACGTGCTAAAAAGAGACTGGATTAATTTTTTGCCAGCTGCTTTACCCCAGACTCACCATGTTTAAAATGTGCTGTCATTCAGAGATTTGTAGACATTTGTAGCAATGGACTGAAGCTCACTTGCAGAGTAGGTGGTCAAGCAGACTGCAGTGGGGTTTCAGCTTGATGCCCCTAAGGGAGCAGAACAGCAGGGAGGCAGGAGAGGGATAGAAAAAGAGACCTTTTAGGCAGGATGGTGAGTTAGGTAGGGTTTAGTATGTCTCTGAAGTTGTTTGTAATGGAGCTTTCCAAATTCCACAACTTCCTGACCAGGCTGTGTGGGTGCAATACAAATGTAGCTGATCATAGGCTATTGAACGTTCAGGGAGGCCAAGTGTGGATCACTATGTTCAGTGGGAAGTCTCCCCTCTTCCTAATACCCTGTTAAGAATTTGTGGCTGAAATTTGACAGTTCGGGAGTGGTTTTGTTATGTCAGAGTTCTGTGTATTATCACAATACCTGTAAGAGGTGTAATTTCCTAGAGAGTCCTGAGCATCTTGGGGATCACAGCCCTGTTTGGTTCTGTGGTTCAGGAACTCTGTGTGCAGTAGCTCTTAGTCCTCAGGCTGTGGAGAGGCTGCTCTGTTTTTATCAGCCTTCCTACTCTCTACACGAGCATGGCATCTGTTTGAATGTGCTGCGTGCATGGCAGTGCTTCTCCTGCCAGACAGGAATGGGACAGCATATGTGTTAGTAAGGCATAATACCATGGTGGGTGGGGAGAAAAATCATTTTTCTTTTCAAAGCCCTTTTGTATATTTTACTTAATAACAAAAATACCAGTGGAAAACACGTTGTGTCTTTGAAACAGGAGGTTTTGCCACTCAGGCATGAAGGCAGTTCCTTCCAGCTTCCTCTGACTTGTGCCATCTCATCCACATCTGCCACCCAAAACACTGTCTCAAGTCCCACATGGTAACCATGATGGGAAATGCAAAAGACAAATTTTGTCTTCAGATTTCTGAGAAACCCCAGGAAAAGGAAACTGGTTATGGTTGCATTGCTAATAATACATTTGGAAAACATTCAGAGGAAGAGCAGATGGTAATAAAAAAAAAAAAAATTCTGCACTTGCTAGCTGTTCTGAGGCAAGGGAAACAGCCTCAGAGCTGTGACTAGTACAAACCGGTCTGAAATGGCACATGCACACTACTCTCTGCCCTCCTGCTCCCCTCTGTGTCCTAAGCTGTTGTGTGAACACATCCCTCACCTGGAGTTCCTTTAAAAGCATTTTTAAGATGCTTATTGGAAAGATTTTTTCAACATTCTGAAGTCTCTCTGTAGCTCTCACCAGCAGATGTCTCCTGCATAAAATGGGTGTTTTTGTCCTTTCCTAAGATTTGGCTGAGATGCCTCCCAAGGTTTCTTGTCTTAGCATCTGACTTACCATGTGTTCCTTCAAAATACAATGCTTCATTTGAGTTTCTCTGCAAGAAGTGATATTTTTTCCATATGCCACATTTTCATCTAGAATCCAATGAATTTAGTTTGCCTTTTCTTTTGTACCTCCTAGATGCTGAAGACTCACATTCTACCTCTGTAATTTACCTTTTCCCCATTTTTGGTTCACAGTTCATTTTCTCTTGGATATTTTGTTGCTTCTTTGAGATCTAGGTACTTCACTTCTGGAAGCTGCTTTCTTCTGTTGTTTTCAGTCACTGTTGGAAAGTATCCTGTCTGCTCATGTGCCTATCTGTATCACCTTAAAATCACCTGTGACCATTCTCTTCCTTTTCTTTAGTTAGCTTCTAAGTCCTTTGTATGCTGTGCTCATTCCCCATAGGAGAAGCTTTTCTGCATTTCACGTTGAATGCAGCACCTTCTTTGCTGGCCCATATCTGCTTTCTATCCCATCTATCCTCTGATGATGTCTCTGGTCTCTTTTGTTACCTTTGGTTCATATTCTAAATAAACTTCAAAATCCTCTGTTTCCCTTTATTCCACAAATCCCCCTCCCCCAAGAGTGTTCTTTTATTTTCTTTTTCAGCATACATCTGTTGTTTCTCTGGACCTCTTCCAAAACATAACTTCTTCAGTGAAACACCAAAGAAATAATTACTTTTCCCTGTTTTTGAATCAGAAATGTTGTGGCAGGAATTTTAATTGGCTATGTTAAAGTCTTCATTTGGCACCTGGTACCGTTACTTGTGCTTGTTACATGTGTGGCAACTTCCCAGTTTCCCAGTTGTGATGGTAGTTGTGGAATTCATTCCTTAAGACAGCTTCTTGAAATATATAAAAATGTACTGTGTTACTGCACTGTAAAGACTTTTTGCTTTAGAGCCTAGTCTCTTTTAGATCTGTTTAGAATTGACAGCTTGATAAAGATCCTGATCGTTTTTAATGTCAAGCACCTTTAATTTATGATGGCTTTCTTGAGGTTTAAGTACTTGCAATATTGCATGCAAAGGTGCAAAACCTTGGCATTAGTACAAAACTGATTGTTCAAGATACAACATTCTAAAGCTGAAAGTTCTCCTACTAACTGACTGTTTTAAGGAATCATCTTTCTCATTTCCAACTTCTTCTGTGTCAACATAAAAGCAGACCATCCAATTAAAATAAAGGGTGGCAAATTCAAAGTTGAGAATTGTTTTTTTTCATGCAACATACAATTACAGTGCACTCTAAAGTATAATTAGAATGAGATTGTGTTGAGAATTTGGGCATAATTAAAGAAAAGATGTTTGAAAGCATAATCTGAATACACAGAATCACTTCTTTGAAAACGTAGAATGCACATAAAAGTATCTTAAGCATGAGATTTTAGGGACTAGACCATGACCTTATGAAAAGATCATCATCACATTATCTAAGTTGCATGACTTTGATAATTTTCTTAGTCAGTTGTCTCAGTATATACAAATGTAGGAATACATGTATGGGGAAAAATATCTTGGACTTCATATGCATCTCAGTGAGCTGAGATGAGTTGACTGTTACTGCTCTGGAACAAAGTCGTAAGGTGACAAAATCAGCAGCTCATTACTGAATAGTAGTCAAAACCAAAACAACCTGTGTTCCAAAATCAAAATGGAATATTTGAATTCAAATATATAAACTGTCACAGAAACATAGAATGGTTCAGGTTGGAAACCCGAAGACCTTAAAGACGACCTGGTTCCAACCCCCAGCCGTGAGCAGGGCACATCTCTCACTAGATCAGGTTGGCCAAAGCCTTGCCCAGCCTGGCCTCGAAAGCCTCCAGGGATGGCGCATCCACAGCTTCTCTGGGCAACCTGTTCCAGTGCCCCACCACTCTCATAGTGAAGAATTTCTTCCTAACATCTAAACTTAAGCCTCTGCTTTCTTTTGGTTTAAAGCCATCACCCCGTGTTCTGTCACTACATTCCCTGATAAAATGTCCCTGTCCAGCTTTCCTGTAGGCCCCTTTTAGAGGTACTGGAAGGTTGCTATAATGTCTCAGTTCTTCTTCAGTGCTGTTTTCTTCTACTTCATGCAAATGATGATGTGACACATACAGGCAATAGAAAATGCGTATGTGAAACAGTATGGGCACTACTAACTTCTTACAGCTAGGTGTTCTGTAGAAGCTGTTGTTTGCATAATAATGTTTAGTTTAGTCTTTCTAGACAAACTTCTGCTCAAAACCATAATGTGGATGTTTGTGCTTTTAAAGGAACTTTTACTTAAGTAACTTAAGCAGTGGACACACATTTGCTGGTTACAGCTAAGTCAGCTGAAGAGACTCCTGCCCCACTATTCTCACTTCTGGCACCTGGGCTGCCATCTATTTCAGTCTTGATGATTTTTTTTATAAATATAAACAGTTTAAATAACAGCCATTTTCAGGTTCAGGTCTTTTGGCTCAAGTGGATTAGAATCTCATAACATGTACAAATCCAAGTGTGTGTTAATATCTTGCCAAGGGTGATAGTTGAAGGTCTGAAGAAAGTAACCTTTTCAGTAGTTACTTGTGGTTTGGTTCAGATACGTCACGCGCTCTAAGAGCTTGCTGATGCAGTAATGTCAGTGGACCTGAGTAAACTCTTTTCTGCCAGAGACCTCGCTAAAGGTTATGGTCAGTTTAAAGAACGCACTTTCAAGTTTTGTAATTTTTCTCCTTCTGCAGCTGAATATATAAACTCTGCACACTTTATAATGTAGGTTGTCCCTGTAGCCCATCTGGTGCAGGAAACTCAGATAGTTGGAAATTTGTATCTCTATAGGTATATAACTTTCTAGATGTTTTTTTTTTTCAACATGAGCATTCAGGTTAACATTTCAAAATGCTATTGTTTTCAACAGTTTATCCCTGGAATTAGGAAAGTCAATGTGGTTCTTTACAGGTAAATTGAGTTGATGATGAAAGGAGCAGGCCTGAGTGCTTTTTGTAATGAAGTTTATTTGCTTTAGTCTTGATTACAAG